TAAAATTTGAAATTAGAGTCACCATTTTTAAAATTTGAAACAATGAGCACTAAACTTGAAATTTATGAATAAAATTAAGTATGTCCCTGTTTGGTAGGGATTAAAATTTAGATTTTAATTTAAATTAAAGTTAACAATTAATTTTAATTACATATTTCATAAAATTCACAATATTTTAGACACGCATTTCATAATTTTTATCAAAATTTACTAAAAATCGAATTTTAATTCATACCAATATGTCATAGTTTCACTCACAATTTACGAGGCTACTTGCACGAGTATTTTGCTATTAAACTTACCTCGTCGTGAAGCTCTTAAGAAACTCCACCCATCAAAAGCACTTGACAATTTTATTTAAAATTTCGACAAAGTTTTAATTAAAGTAAAAATGGGTAATTAACTTGAGCAAAAAATTGATTGCCAATGTTTCTATTAAGAAAAAAATCGGCCAATTTCCAGATTTAACCCAAAAAGACCGTCTTTCAAGAAAAAAATATTTGAAATTCAGAAAAATAAAATATAGAAAAATAACAACACAAGTAATTACATAGAAAACTCCAAAACTAAAAAAGATCATGGACTATCAAAGATATAATTTTTTTTTTTTTTAAACTATGAAAATTGTTACAATCATATATCATTTATTACACATTGAAACCCTCAATTACAAACCAAGAACATTCCAAGCTATTCCACTCTTTAAAAAATTCTCAAAGAGAGCTTTTTGAATGCTGTTAAATATCTAGTATATATAAATGGTTATTTAGATAAAGAAAATATTTAAATTTAATTTGTATAAGCGTAATTAAACTCTAGATAAAATGGAAAGAAAGAAGGTAAGAAGAAAAATACAAAGTGAAGAACAAAATCCGATGTAAGTGAAAATACTTTCTCCTTAAGATAATATTGCCCTACAAAGGTGTTAACGGATTAGACACTTGTCTCCTAAAATACAACGGATACAATATGTGGTAGAAACACTTCAAACAATAAGCAATAACGAACTTTGAACGATGATCTCTCTACAAGAAAATAGTTTTGGAATGACTTTTGAATAGTATTTTGCAAGAGTTTCGATTTAATGATCAATGCAAAATGATATTAGATGCATAATGGACGTCCAAAGGGTCATATATATAGAGGAGGAACTGTTGTGAGTGAAATATCGCACCTCAAACTCAGCAACATTTGCCAAATGTTGCAGCATTTGCTGCGCTAATCTGTCGCTGGGCTCTCGCTCGAGCGATAGTGACACATTTTCATCAAAAGCTCTTTCGCTCGCCTGACGTGAGACGTCGTTCGAGCGATAGGCGAGCGATTGAGTTGGCCATTTTTCCGGTCCGTATTTCTTTTTTTTCTATCCAACTTTGAACTGTAATTTCTCATTCATCCGAAATTTATTTTGAGATTCTATATATTCCACGACGATTTATTCGACGAGTAGAATTAATTAATCTATTTATATTCATAATTTGACTATCGAATTAAATCTGAATATTTGGTTAAAGTTGACACGAAAATCACTTTTTCATACTTAACTAAATTTTCATTCTTTAAATCAAATTCCAACAAATGCTACACTAAGATTTTTTTTTTTTGGCAATGAACAATCACTTCTATCTATAGTACTTATTGCTCGATAATTTGCACTAATTTTGCATACAAATCTTAAAAAATTCAAAAAAAGATTGTAAAAGGCTATAAAGGCATGCAAAATCTTCAAATTGTTGTAAAAATACTATTCATAGATTATGTGCCTACAATTGTTGACTTTCTTGCCCATCGTGTAATCTAGTTCACTGAACAAAGTCCTGTCAACATCTAATATCAAATTTAGATATAAATTTTTCATTTGGGTTTGAGTTCAAGTAGCTGTGTTAAATGAAGTAACAAGGTTTATCTCGAATCATTCTAGCGAACTAGAAAATATGACGTACATCGATGATGGATGACAGTTTAACGTTAGACCTATAATTAGGGCTAATTTTGGCCTTCTTTAACTATAATAAATTTAATAATTAAAAAAAGGACATAATTTTCTCCATAAATTGTATACAACCAATTTAAAAAACAACAAAAATTTCTAAAAAATATATACACATATGATAGATGTTGGGGACCACCGAACTGAGCCGATCGATTCATTTCGCCAAATGTGGGCCTGGCTCGTAGATTGGTTGGCTAGTCAAGTTTTCTTAAATAAAAATTGCATTTCATTTCGATTATATTATCACCACAATAAAAATTTGATATACCACAATTTTCTTATTTACTTAAATAATAATGAGTAAAATAATATAAATATCTTATTTATTACTCGCTGATATATTTATTCATTTAATTGCCATCATGTGAATACCACATAAAATATATAACTCTCATTTAAAGATACAAATACGAAAATTCATGCAATAAAAGATTCAAAGATTGAACAGAAGAACAAACATTATCACAAAAGACGCAACTATTAAATGAAAGAAGACTTGAACACCACACTATCAATTCACTTTGTAGCAACCTTTCTCTATCACTTCAATCAACCGCTAGCTATTATTTAATTCACTCAAGAAATTTCTCTCATAGCACTTTTGCAGTTAGCCTAGTGGTGAAAATGGATCGGGTCGAGCCTCGGCTCGGCACATCTACCCTTGAGCTCGGCTCGTGCTCAAGGGTCAGGCTTGGCTCGGCTCGGCCCACGAGCCGATCCAAGCTCTCTCTCACTCTTTCTCGCACACATACATACATCAAACACACATATATAGTGGCATTTATGGCTGTGAAATCGGACTTTCATAATTTTAGATTTTTCTCCAATTAGCGATGGACTTCAGCATAGATTTCTCTATATTTTTTTATTATATCGATTTAGTAAAGTTTGGTACAAATCCTAGATTTTTTTTTTCATTTTTAGTTTTTATTTGGTTATGACTGTAATTGTATTAATTTGTTATGTTTTTATTGAAAATATGTTCTACTTGTGATGTAGTTATAATGTGACATAACAAGTAAAATTTGTGATGGGAATATAATTAACATGATTTGATGCGAACCCACGTAACAATGATAGTTACCAAACTCACACAAGATTGATTCAATCCAAGGAAATCAAGAAATCAACGTTTGAAAACTCGACCCAATAAATTATTGAATCAAAAAACCAACACAACAGTCGTCAATATGTTGATCCCGTGATCACAAAACTTATGAACCTTACTTAATTTGATGAAAGTCACAAGAACTTAATTCTCAATAAGTTCAGAAATAGTTTGATGAAGAATAAGACGAAATCAATACGTCTTTTAATTAATCTCTCAATAAATTGTGTGTTTTACAATGAATAGAATGAGTCCTATTTATAGGGAACTCATAAAACCTAACTAGAAAACGGAATTAAAAGATATAAAAAAATATACCATACAAGAGTTTTAACTAAAATAAAACGCGAAATTTGAAAAATTCGCGTCCCAGTTTGAGCTATGTGGCGCATAGTGTAAATCTATGCTGGCACATAGATTAACTGAAATCCTCCACTAGGGTTTCGGTAAATGGGCTGAACAACTATGCGGTCACATAGTTGTTCTTGCCATCTTCATCATTTATTACTTGAATCAAGTTTCGCATAGTTGTTCCTTCCATCTTCGTCATTTATTACTTGAATCAAGTTTCGCCACTTCGTTTCATATCCCATGCCCAATATGAAATTTGTCACCTTGCTCACTGTGATCAATGTTTTGTCCACTGGGTTTGAGCAAGTAGTCACATTGCTTCCTTGACCCGTTTCGCTCGCGACCTAGTCAATGGCCCTTCCTCAACTATCAATAGATCCTTACCCGAACTTGTCCTCGTATCATGAATCACATCATGACTATTCACACATTTGATGCTTACAATTGTTGACTTTCTTGCACATCATTTAATCTATTTAGACTGCTTATGAATACTTCAACTTGTTCATGGAACAAAAGTAAATGTCCAAGACCTATTCTGAACTCGTTATTGGATGATTTGAGACCATAAATTCAACTTATGACTAACAAAAAAAGAAATAAATCGTTCATATAAAGTTAGGATGATTGAAGAATAATTTAAACTGAAAAGTCTTTTATACCAATATAAATAAATAGAAAATTAAATGCCAACTTGTTTGACCAAAATAAAATACACACTCAATGATCGAATAAAGATTTCATAAATTTTATTAGGTCTATGTTTGATTGAAATAAAAATCAAATTTTTAGTAGATTTTAATAGAAATTGATAGAACGTATAGTCGAAAAATTGTAGATTTCACAAAATATGTGGTTAAAAATAATTGTTAATTTAAACTTAAATTTCAATATAAATTTTCTAGTTGAATCAAACATGGACTATATGTGTATATATATTAAGAAATATAAAATTAAATCAATCATGCTAGGGTGTCAGAAAGAATTTGACACCCTAGATGACATACACTCACAGTTGGGAGTGGGTAGGGGGGATTTTTGCATTTTATATTCACGTGGGTCCCATGCGGGGCCCAGCACATGTGAGAATATGTCATTCAAGATGTCAAATTCTTTTTGGCAACATGGCTTAATTCAATTGGGATTGAATCTACTCGATTAAAATATTTTTATATCCTTAGTATAAAAATAAATAAATAAATTCTTCTATTTTTATATCCAATCTATAAATCCTATTTTGAATTGGAATGAAAAATGCTAGACTGAAATCTAACAATTTCACCATTATGATCTTTAATCACCATATTTGTCCAAGTCTAATTTTTTCACACAAACAAATAAGTATATTTCAACAGTATTATCTCATTAAAATGAAAAATATGACTGTTATCCATTACATTAACATTTAAATTTAAATTTTCTATCTCTTATGTGGGGCCCAATAACAGCTATATTTTTAATTCTCATTTTACAATAATTTGACCTAAATAATTATTTTTACAAATAAGACAAACATGAAGTGTCATCATTACATAATTTTTGTCTACTCCAATGCACCTGCGTACTTTCTCTCTCGACATTTTCGTGGCTGAAGGCCTGAAACTCAATCCTGTTGCATTGACACTGGAAGCGGCTACTGCCGGAAAACGAAGACTTTCCACAGCCTCCGTCCGCCTGTGCCTGTGCCGCCGCCGTCGCACCACTCATTATTTCTTACACTCTCTTCCCCCTCCACTCCTCGACCAACACTGCCTCTGCCGCTCTCTCAACCACTTCCTTTCGCATCGACGCCGCCGCGTCACCTACACCGCCTTCCTCCACCAGGTTGACTCACTTTCATCTTCTATACAACCTCTCTATCCAAATCTTTCGAAAAACGACGTCGCATTTATACTCTCACCGCCATGTCTTCATGTCCCGGTTTTGTATTTCTCACTTCTTTCACTTGGATTCACCATTTCACCGGCGAATCCTTTGTCCTCACCGGACGAGTTGATCACCAGATTAAACTCAGTAAACCGTCCATCGCCACCGCCACCGCCGCCCACAAACTCCCTGGACACCTCCCCGGAATTCTACTCTATGCTCTCATGTGTCAATAATTCGTGTAAGTGTTATGCCCCATATCCAATCAATTTTAAATACATAAACACTTTTAATATATAACCTTATTTAAAATCTAAATTTTAATTTAAATCAAATTTAATAATTAATTTTAACTACATATTTTATAGGTCTCAAAACTTTTCAACCACTTATTTCATCAACTTCTATCAAAATTTACTAAAAATCTGATTTTAATCACCATCAAATAGGGCATAATTGATGCAATTTTATGGCAGATCTATTATTTAATTAATATTAATATTAAATTAAATAATAGAATCCGTAGATTCAAATATTAGTAATTTATTAACTACAAAGAGCTGTGACTATGAGATACAAATTACATGTGATTGAATCTTAAATCATTTATGGTCGTAAGTAATAATAAGATATGATATCGTTATTATGAATAGACCATCACATGTGACGTTTCTTACTTGTGAAGTAAATAGTTGATCCACAAGCTAAAGTCTGGTGATACTTAAAGGAACACATAGATGTTTTGTTATGGAACAAAACATTGAAGATTCGCTCGAGAGATTCCACATGGATAATTATTCAAGTGTCAGTGGTTAATTTCTAACGTTTTGTAGTGGAATTTGTCATTCGACTTAAGGTCATCATAATGCCTTATATGAGAACAGTTATACTTTGATGATATTGGATGTTGCTCTGTTAAGGATCGTTAATACGACATCGTTTGGGTATGTCAATAATTATATAAAGATTGTAAATGATCAATAAATGATTCTTCATTCTTAAATAATAAGAGATTATGATTTACATTTCACTTAATTAAGTTAATAACAGAATAGTTGATCAAAGTGTACTCATAAGTCGGAAAAGAGTTTCCAACTTAAAATTGAATTAATAGTGGGATAAAATATATAATCAATAATTAAGATTGACACATATACATATCTTGTAATTGTTCGGATCATACTTACGAAAGAATTATAATTTAACAGTCAACGAACAAGTTTGTTTTGTCATACCATGTGACATTTCCTGTCACATGTATTGCCCGTCATATTGTTATGTGTCAATTTGGGACGACGAATGTGAATTAATGATAAATTAAAAATGGGTATTTTAATTTATCGATTTTGATTATATCAAAATAATAATTCACGCCGTTAGATATTGTGATTGGGAACCTAACGAGTCACACACAAAATGTGACTTATTAGGGTTTCAGAAATAGAAGAACACGATTCATATTCTTGCTAGCATAAGAAAAGAGAAACATTAATTATCTCATTTTTGTCTCCTGTGTGAATTTCTATTGGAGGCTGGACAATTGGATAGCTTCATATTCAAGACAAGCAAAAGAGTTTCCAGAATTCAACAAATGTATGTTTTCTATCTAAATACAAAGCAAATATTTGGTGAGAATTGAAATTGTTTTTTTCATTTTACGTTTTGCATGATAAGTAAATTTTCAACAATTCGAATAGAACAATTCATTATCAAACAATCCGACCCAGCCGCCATTTTATACTCCTCCGACACCATTGGAAAAGTAAAAGCCATGGTGCTTACTCACCGGAACTTCATCGCGTGAAATAATGTTTGATTAATAGATTATGTTTCATGAAGTACTGCATACACATGTATCATCGAAAGTTATTGAAAAATGAATTGTTCTTATAAGGTAATAATATCAACATTATTCACCATGTAATGAAATTGTTAATCGAAAATATAAAGTTACTCATTTTGACAGTAAGACGAAAAATGATCTAGTTCCCTTGTTTTCTTTTCTTAGTTTTTCCTTAAGATCAAAATAGTAATTGCTACATTTAGCAAAGATTGAGAACCTTAACTACAATTAAAATGTGGTGCATCAAATAAAAATTATGGTCCACCCATTCAACAAAAGATTGTAAAAGGCTGAA